TGTACATCTGTGCTGCAAAGTCTCCCAACTCTTTGTCACCCTATGGACCATAGCCCGCCAGGATCCGCTGTCCATGGCAGGCAGGAATACTGGAGTGGGTTACCATGCCCTCCTCCAGGGGACTTTCCTGACCCACGAATTGAACCTGGGTCTCCTGAATTGCAGGCAGATTCTTTACCCACTGAATCACCTGAGAAGCCCCTGTAAAGCAACTGTACCCCAATAAAAAATTAAAAAAGGAAGCTGGACTTTCTTCTCTCTGAGCTCTTATAGTTCCTAGGAGCTGAAATTCTGAACCAATGATTCTGTGAAATTACTTCCCTAGGATTATAAGTCCAAGTGAGATGTGTAGATACTTACAGAAGTGTGAACAAATTTTTAAAAAGAGAGAGAAAGAGAGAGGAAGACGGTGATGATATTATAACAAATGACTAAAAAATGAGGGTAAAAAAAAAATGAAAGGAATCCTAGTTGCTACACAAAATCTTTGCAAAGGAGAACTGTAAATTTGGGTCTGGGCCTCCTAAATATAGAGCAATGAGGATAATACTGTCCGTTACAAGAAGAATGATATCACTGAATTGAAAAAAAACAAACCATGACTCAGAAGAATCACAGATATTTTTGAGACTTCAAAGCAATTTCTCACAGGGAATTTTGAGGTGTGTAGTAAACCAATAGTAGTAAACCAATTTGTTTTCATCTAGAAAAACAAATGGGTAAGTCTTTTTTTTCTTTTCCCAAACCGAAGTTTATTTTTAAAATGCAAAGAAATGAAACAGACAAAAGAATTCCTCTGGCCAAAGGGGGAAAAAGTCTGGGGACAAGGACTCCACGCTGTGTGCTGGATGCCAAAGTAACCTCCAACCTCACTCCTCAAACAGCTCAGCTGGATCGACCGGCCACTGCGTGAGTCACAGTTTCCAAACCCTGCTGGAAGGCAGGAGTCCCCTGGAAGGCTCGCTCAGCACACAGAGCCCACAGCCCCACAGCAACCTGACTGCATCAGGGTCTTGAGTGAGGAGGGAGATGGGGTGTGATCTGTGGCCCCTGGTGACCTCTGTCCAGCAAGCTTTGGAAACACTGCTATAAACCAGTATCACAACTGTTTGGCTCAACTAGACAGTAAAAGCTCCTTAGGTGGCAAGCCTCATCCCCGTGAATGTGACATCCACTGGAAGGTAGGGCCCTGAAGGGTGAGAGGACATGGACTAAACTGTCAGGGCCACAGGCTATGCTGATTTGGACAGAGAATTTCTCTGCTCCCTCTCTGGAAGCACTGCCCGCATCTCCACATCAGCTGCCCCCTCCAGCGGGCACCTCCTGGCTCTCAAGGTGAAGCTGTCTTACTGTCTTCTCCTCAGCGACATGCAAATGTCATGGCAATGGTGCCAGGCAGAGCAGGTGACCAGGCTTCCCTTCTGTGAGGCAGAAGTTGGAAGAGCACAAACTTCAGGTGACCTGATTGGCTGTGGACACATGTTCCATCTTCCTACTCCAGTTCACCCTTCATGAATGAGCCAGACTAGGTTCCCACAAACTTTGCTATCATCAGGGTATCCAGTTTGAAAAGTATTTCCATGGCTTCCCATTGTCCATGACATCTGTGTATGGAATTATATCATGGTGGTTTAGAGCTTGGGCTCTAGAGTCATACCAGGGTTCAAACTCTGGCCTTCTCACTTTTGACTGGTGTGCCCTGGGCAAATTCTTGCCTACTCAGAGCCTGAGTTTCCTCATCTGTAAAATAAGGATGTTCACTAGACCAAATATGCTAGCTTGTGTTGCAGTAACAAACAACTCCCAAATTTTAATGTACTAAAACAACCAATGCTTATTTTTTATGCAAGCAAAGTTGGCGATGGGTCCAGAGACCTCTGAAGACAAGTGCCCCCCTACACAGAAGCTCAATAATCCAGGCTAAATCAACCACGTGCCACTGCTGTCTATCACATGCATCCAAATCAGAATGGGACTCTGGAGGGACTCACAGAGACTATTAAATGCTTCAACCCAGAAGCAATGTACATCAGCTCTACTCACCAATCATTGGTCAAAACTAGTCATATGGCCCTGCCTCCAGTATGGAGGTATGGAAAGCATAATCAAGCAGTACCCAAGAGAAGAGAAGTAGAAATGAGGAAGCATTAAACATGGTGGTAATGCATACCAGGGCAGGGGGTTGGTGAGGGAGGTGACCATGAGATGCATGCAAAACTTGGGCACAGTTTCTGGCACACCGCAAAGGTTTAATAAATGTTAAATATTATTATCATAATTACCATAGCCTTCCAAAGCCTTGCCTTCTCTTCCATTCTGGTTCTGATCAGTGTCCTAAGGAGCAGTGGCCTATTTCCTCACCTGCAACTTCTTTTATCCTCCAGGTTTGGAATTTTGTAACTCTTCCTTTCCATTAAGCCTAGTATCAGTCATGAGATTTGCATCAGCCATCATAAAAACTCTGGATGGTATGGTAGCAAGAGGCCAAGGATGATTTATCGTCTAATATATATATATATATATATACACACAGCACACACGTTCTTGTAACGTGTGCATATTACAGAGGTCGTTAACTAATGTTTCATTAGCACTATTATCATCAGTGACTACAGCTGGTTTAAGATCAAGAAGCAGGAGGGGCCCACCAGAGGCAGAGGAAAGAGCATTCCTGAGAAATGAATGAGACCCCTGGGTTCTGAAACCTCAATATCCACATCTGTAAAATGTGACTAAGGGTCCTGCCAAGCTCACTGGGGTGTTGATAATACCCAGCAAGAACAAGAAGGCTGGTTCCCTGTGAGGTGTCACCCAAGTCCAGGGCATAGTATTCCCTGAAAGGTGCCAAATACTGTGGTGCCTCAGAAAAACAACTTGTACACAGAGCCCCTTGAAGATCTCTTATGCTTGTTTTCTGTCTCTCAGCATTTGTCTCCCCAGACAGCCCTGTCTCCCACTGATTCTTACTCCCTTGATAACCAGTTCATCATCAGATTGTTTAGCCCAGTGTCTTTCTCTCTCCAGATGTATGGCGGGTGGGAGGTCAGATTGCATGGGGGAGTGTGTGCAGGTTCCCAGGGCTTTTTCTGCTAGACTCTTGAGCTCTGGGGAATGGCTTATTGCTGCCCTAATCGTAACAAGGCTCACACCACCATTACACAACTTTAATACCAGTTTTTATGCGGGCATCTGGGGATATGTGTGCTTATGAGCAATTTGTAATGAAAGAAAGCCCGACCTTTAGCAGGCTGGGAGAAGAGGGGCCCAGAGCACCAGGCAAGGCAGGCCCCATCACAGGAGCCGCCCCCAGGCTCTGGGGACAGGGCTGCTGCCCTGGGATATTTAAGGCACTATTTGATCTCTTGTTAAGTCCCACATGGCTTCAATTTCCATGTGTTCTGAAAGAGAATGGAATTAGAGTCAACAGATCCATCATGTCTTTCAGAAAGATGTGTTCTTCATCAGGAAGGAGATGGAAGAGGAAAGGAAACGCACATTCATGGAAGGCCTACAGTGTGCGAAGACCATGCCAAGAGCCTTATTTTATATGAGCCTCATAATAGCCTACTAAGGTAGGATTTGTTATTAACCTTTGCGGTAGCTCACAAGAAAAAAAAAAAAACACACAGTGTTTTGTACCTCAACCCCCATCCAAAGGTAGAATCTGTTTCTCCATCCTTTGAATCTGGTATTTGGCTATCTTCTGGCTGGGGCCAGTGAGGCCTTTGCAAACACAATGCAAGCAGGGTCTTGAACATGACTGTGTATCAGATGTGCCTTTTCTCGCTCCTTCAAATCATTTCACTGCTATGTGATCAAGCACAAGTTAGCCTCCTGGAAGATGGGAGACCACAAGGGGATGACCCCAGCTGTCCCAGCTATCCCAGGTAGGGCCACAGACACAGGAGTGAGCCTATCCTAGGCTACCCAGCCACCGCTGAGGCAGCCCAGGCCTGAAACACTCAGCTAATCTAAAGAATCCTAGACATTACTAAGTGTTTCTTGTCATAAGCCACCCTGTTTTCAGGTAACTTGTTTTTCAGTAAGAGCTGCCTGATACATCCCTTGTTACAGATGAGGAGTCTGAGGCTCAGAAAGCTTAAGTCTTTTCTTCCAGATTCCTTACTGGTTATATGGCTGAGAGGGATTTGAACCCCAGACTTATATTCAGGGCACTGAATTACCAGGGTGTCCCTACATCATGCTGGCATGTGGAGTGGGACTCCTGAGAGCAAATTCTCCTGCATCATCATCACAAGATCATCACCATCATCATCCACACTCTTTTCATCTTATAAAACTGAAACTCTGTACCCATTAAACAGCATCTCTCCATTCCTTTCTCTCCCAGCCCCTGACAATCACCATTCCACTGTCTCTATGAATTTGATGACTCTAGGTACCTCATGGAAGTGGAATCATACAGTGTTTGTCTTTGTGTGACTGGCTTATTTCACTTACTAGAGCATCCTCAAGGTTCATCCATGTTGTAGCGTATGTCAGAATTGCCTTTCTAGGGCCGATGAATAAAATAGTAATATTAATTATTACATAATTAATATATAATATTGTATGCTTATCTATCTACCTGTCAGTAGAGACTTAGATTGCTTCCATGCCTTAGCTATTGTGAATAATGCTGTTATGAATATAAGTGTACAAATATTCCAAAGATTAACTAGACCTATATGGTAGGCCTCCTTTGGCTTAACTATGTCTCAATTCTCCACTTAGAATCCCACAGATTATCTAGAAGCACAAGTGTTTTTTCACTTCTCTCTCACCTGGAAATGACAGTGGAGAGTCTGTTGGTAGCAGCACCAACTAATTCAACAACAACATAAATTGGATTCTAATCAATCTAGAATTTCACATATAAATCCTCACATTTGTGGAGAGGAAGGAGTTTGTGCTTTGGGATCCTATGCTACTTAAAAGCTAAAGTCTGAACCTGTTTAAAAATAAAATGCATAAAAAGACATGAAACGTGGAGTTTATTTTTGAAAGCAATTGTATGCAGAGGAATTAGGAGACACTAATTGGTTTCAAGAGAAAATTGCATCACATTACAAACAACTGGATTTTTTTTTCAAATGAGCTCCTTTCCCTGCAGTGAAAACATCTGGACTCCCAGGGGCCACAGGCAAAGTCAGGGCCTCTTGCAGCCCAGGACAGATGACAGATTTTGCAAGTTGCTGGAGCTTCAAGTGAGAAAGGTCACAGGATGGGGAAGTGTGGAATGTTTCTCTTTTTTGCATGGCAAGGTAAATCTAACATGGGGTCATCAACAGCATGGGATTGTTTAAAATCTCAACATCAAGTCCAAACTCCACGTGGCATTCCAGGCTCTCTAAAATCAATCTAGCTCCTCGGCAACCTGCAAAACCTGTCCTCTGTCAGGCTGGAAGCTCTCCGCAGAGCGTAATACTGATGACAGAAGGAAAAATGCTTCCAATGGGGTTGTGGCAATCCATGTGTTCCACTGCAAGAATGAAAATTTTAAGAATGATCACTTGTTAAGTAATCACCAAGAATGACTCAGACACCAACAATTTGCTCACAGGACACCAGTAACTAGTTATCAAGATACTGCCTATGTAAACATATCAGTTTGGACACAGCAGCCGAATGTTTCCCAACAACCAGTAATGGAGCCAACACTTGATCATGTCATGTCTGAGTGAGTTGCTACACAATTTTATTTTTCAGATGGTTGTTTTCCCAAAGTAGAATAAGACGACTCACTGGGAATTCTGTGGGAAACAATGTTTTTCCAGACCATTTTAGCCATAGAATCCTTTCTTCAAATTGAAATGTCACACGGAAGCCCTGTATTTAAAGCTCAAGGTCCACGAGATAGGCACCTTCCTTTCAGTCCCTTAGGGGCCCATCTCTGGCTCCTTCTTGGGCAGAGGATGGGCTTTGGAAGGCTCTGCCCTGCTGTTTCTACAAGAAAATATTCCACGTGAATGGGAAGTCCAAAGAGAGGGCCCTCCACACCCATCAAGAACCTAGGAAAGTAGTTGCCCCCAACCCACTCTGGACTTGCCTCACCTGCCTTCTCCTGCTTGAATCCTTACTGACTCTTTTGAAGGTCCAGAACTCTTCTTTGCTGATGAAATCAGGTAATTAATCCAAAGCTATAAAAGTCAGGCCATGTGTTGGGGGGTGGGGTGGACAATACAATTCTGAGCTTCATGTTTCACACATTGCTCCTCTGTTTCACATAAGGGACCACACTCTACTGAATGGGTGATGAGGATGCTTCCTCCTTCCCAGCCCTCTTCTCCCCTCACTTCCCTTAAGCCCTTTCCTGTCCATGGGTTGGACATCCTTTCCTCAGTAGCCCCATCTATCTCCATTCAATTATCAATTCCTAACCCCTAAGATCCATCCCCATATCTTGCAAACTTCACAGACTCTAGCAGTGAAGACTCAGACTATCTAGACTCTGACTGTCCTGGCACCTCTTCCCAGCCCAGTATCTGCTCTCTATGGAACGAGGGAGGGTGCGCTCTGGTCTTAAGGTTTTCCTGCAACGTGGGGGGAAGATGACAGTGGACATCCCTTTCCTGGATGTGGCTGTCTTCTCCTCAATAGTAACTCACCATCATGAGGATCAATTCCTTAAAACAACAGCAACACAACACCTCAGCTGGTCTTCAAGAGAGATTTATACTCCTCTTCTAATGCAACTTTGACTAATCTGCTGTTCAGTTGCTAAGTCATGTTCAACTCTTTGTGACCCCATAGAATGCAGAACACCAGGCTCCTCTGTCCTTCACTATCTCCCAGAGTTTGCTCAGATTATGTCCAGCGAGTCGGTATTGCTATCTAAACATTTCATCCTCTGCTGCCCTCTTCTCCTTTTGCCTTCAATCTTTCCCAGCATCAGGGTCTTTCCCAACGACCTGGCTCTTCACATCAGGTGGCCAAAATAGTGGAGCTTCAGCTTCAAATCAGTCCTTCCAATGAATATTCAAGGTTGATTTCCTTTAGGATTGACTTATTTGGGGAGAGTTAATAACCCTGGTCATGAATAGCACTATGCCTACATCTCTTCCAGTAAACACCTAGGCGTCTTCCTTGCTCACAGAACACAGAGCGGGGAGTTGTTTTGTCTGTCTATTTCAATTAGCTAAAAGCCGAGTTGGTCTTATTGAAATGGTAGAAACCCCTGCCCCTGAACCCTCCATTCCTCTGCTGGTACACCTCCTCAATAAGGTTGCCAAATTTATCAAATAAAAATATGGGATACCCAGTTAAATTTGAATTTAAGATAAATAATGAATAATGTTTAGTATGTCCCAAATATTGCAAGGGACAAAACCCCCCCCCCCCACCCCGAGACACCTTCCGGGAGCATGCACTGCACCCACCGTGTGGGAGATGGTTTCAGTTAGGGGATCGCAACAGTTGATCTCTAAGATTCCTTCATCCTAAGGACTCTGATTTCTTGTATAGCAGCACACCAAGAGTGAGGGGTACACAGAACATCGGTCCTTTTTCCTGGCAGCAGAAGGGCCCCTCCTTCTTGAGCCTCAGGTCCTATCCAGGGCTCTGTCTATGGTACTGTCTGCTTTAGCTCAGGGGTCTCAGACTCTGCCCCTTGCTCAGTCCTCAGCCCCAAAGCTGCCTCCACTTTGCATTTCCAAGCGACCACCAGCGTTCAATAATGGGCTCCAGTTCTGCCTCCAGCAACTCACTTACCTGCTTTCTTGTCTGGGATTCCCTTCACTAATTTTCTACAACTATCACCCAACACTTCTGATGAGTAGCGTGTGGCCAAGGGCTTGGCAAGGAGATCAGGCTCCCTCCAGAGCAGCACAGACCAATCTCTCCTGGCAGCAGAGGGTCCGAGGCTCCCAGATTGAGAATCCTTGTCAGGAAAGGAAACAAGGTGTCCCTTCTTAAAAACAATGAGCCAAGATCACCATACAGGAGAGAGAACCCTGTTTAGTTTGGCTAAAGCCAGGTCCAATCGAGAGTGTGTGATAATCATCTCCAGGCTCAGCTGGGGGATACAGATCCAGAGGGAAAGAAGCTGGGCAGGGGACTCATGGAATCAGAAGATAACTGGGGGGATACACAGTCTGAAATGCAGGAATGCACCCCGCCCTGGTTCACCGGATATGTTGAAGCAGGCCTAAAGATGAAAAGATAAAGATGCTGTCAGTAATGCTAGAGTCATCCTCCAAAATCCTCAACTTTCTCTCAAGCCAAAAAAGAAACACAGAGAGAGAGAAACCACCTCCATTTCTGTCTCTTTTTAAGATGGGCAAGGGTGATGCCTAGTTAACATCAACAGCAGGCACAGAGCCTTCACCCAGAGTAATTAACTCATGAGTGACAAGTGAATGGACCAATAAGTGAAGGTAGCTGCCCAGGTAGCCCTCCCTCTGCACTCAGAACTGGAATGCTATTGTGCTTAGTCTCTTGGGTCGTGTCCAACTCTTTGCAACCTCATATTTGGGTTTGAATCCTAGCTCTGGAACTACTTATGCTATGGCCTTGAGCAACCACTTGATCTCTCCAAAGCCTCAGCTTCCTCATCTATAAAATGCTTATTAGTTATTAACGCTAATAACTGTATCAGCTTCACCAGACAACAGTAAGGATCAAAGGAGGTGACATATGAGAGAAGGCCTACAAACTCTAAAGCAATTTCCAAGTAGTAAATGTGCTACAAAATGCAATCCCTTCCTTTAAGCAGCTTACAGTCTAGACCTGCACAGTCCAATTTAGTAGCCACTAGGCATATGTGCCTACTGAGCATTTGAAATGTGATTGATGTTAGGCTGTTTTACACAGGTTACTAGTATATAATACATGCTAGGGATTGTGCAGGGGGAGGAGGTGTGTGTGTGTGTATTTTAATTCAAAAAGATAATTTAAAAATATCTCATTGGTGTGTTTTATATTAAATGCATGGCGAAATTGTACTGTTTTTATACATTGAACTAAATAAAATAGCAGTAGCTTATTAGTATACAAATACTGGCCAACCAATGTGCCTTGGTTGGCTTCCCAGGTGGCACTAGTGGTAAAGAACCTGCCTGTCAGTGCACGAAACGTAAGAGACCTGCAGTCAATCCTGGGTCAGGAAGATCCCCTGGAGAAGGGCATGGCAACCGACTCCAGTATTTTTGCCTGGAGAATCCCTTGGACAGAGGAGCTTGGCAGGCTAAGGGTTGCAAAGGGTCAGACATGACTGAAGCGACTTAGCATGCACAATGTGTCTTGAATAAATGTAAGCTGATCATGTGTCTCCCTTTGTCACCTCTGCTGATCAGAAGAGCAAGCATAAATGTTTCAAACTCTAAGTGACCTTCAGGACAATTCAACCCAACATCTTGTTTTTTTTTTCAAATGAAGAATCTGAGCTCCAGAGAGGGTGGAGACCTAAGCAAGATGCACAGCCCATGAACGACCCAGTGTATTTTCTATTAGACTACAGTGAGGTTTTCGGAGCTTTTCAAATCTTTTTTTTTTTATAAAGATTGCCTAAAGTTGAGTCACATGATAATTCTGGGAAATGACTATGTATCCACATTTGGCAGATAAAAAAACTGGGGTTCTGAATGACTAAACAGGCACAATTAATGGCATCTTTGAGGCCAGCACTTTGACCTTTCACCTCCATGCTCTCCCTCCCACCCCAGGCTCCCTCTGTAGGCCCGGAAGACTGTCTAATAATATGTAGCATCCCATTCCCCGGTGCCTCTACCACCTCTTGTTCAGGACACGCCTGTGAGCATTCTTCAGTCTAATTAAATAATGGAACCACACTGATCTTTTCTTCCAAGGTCCAGGGGCACTGTTTCCTCTCCACCCCAGTTCTGCTTGGGAATGTTGACTTTGGAAAACGGCACCAAATACACTCTGACTGCAATTTCCAAATCAGAAACAGCCTCCAGATCCTTATTCAGTGGAGAGTAAAAGATCTCAGAAGGGCAGAGCCTCTTCAGGCCGTGAGACTCTAGAACCTCTTCTGCCCTCAGAGCCTCCAAGGACAAACAGGTCGTTACAAGCCAGCTCAGATCCACATATGTGTACCTGCGGCATGTCCTGGGATTCAGAGGTGACTAAAATAAAGCTGCCACCTCTTAATCATTCCTGGTCCAACAGAGAAGATTCACACAAATGGTTAGCTGGACTGTGAGGCAGAAGGACACGGGTACCATACTTTGGGGGCCTAGAAATTAAGGAGCCTCAGGTTCAGACTTCCCTGGTGGTCCAGTGGTTAAGAATCTGCCTGCCAATGCAGGCAACACAGATTTGATTCCTGGTCCAGGAAGATCCCACACGCTGCGAGGCAACTGAGCCTGTGGGCCACAGCTACTGAGCCCGCACCCTAGAGCCCGTGTTCTGCAACAAGAGAAGCCACTGCAATGAGAACTAGAAAAAGCCCTCGCAGCAATGACGACCCAACACAACTATAAATTAATATTTTATTTTATTTTTAAATAGAATTAAGATTTTTCTTTTACCAACCACACCAGATACCCAACAGTTGTTCAAGAAGACAGTGATGAAAAACTGGTTATCTCGATTTCTGGAGAGGGAGACCCCTATCGTCCTTCAGCCCCACTCCCTCCAGGGCACAGGGCAGCACCTGTGACACCTGTGTCTCTTCCAAGGTCCAGGAGAAGGGCCACCTCTGATCTCTGATGTCCCTAGGCCCCTCCCTTCTGCACCTGGGAACATCTTTTACTTAAAAATACCTTTTATTTTAAACCCATCAATTCTCTCTCACACACATACACTCAAACTCATCCATAGACAAGCACACATCCTCTGTCACCAACAGTCTATGTTTTTCCAAAAGATCTGCCTTGTCTCTGACCAGCCAGGGCTGGGGCCGGCTGGACGGGTCCTCACAGATCTCCAGGGTGGGGCGGAGATGTCCCAGGAGGCCTGCTCTGAGGGTCATGGGCCCAGGTCATTGTCCTCTGGTCCCCCCATAAAGAAGGGACCCAGGTTTGGCTCCTGGGGTCTTCTCCCCTGTTCATCCAGTGGCTGGCCTCTGGCCTTCTTCTCAGGGTCCTGCTTGGAGCAAATGACACAGGGATCCAGGCTCATCTCCGTGGCACTCGAAGTGGGGCTACCCCCCTCACCTTCAGGCAGCTGCCCCCCAGGTCACGACGGCTTCCCTCCTTGCGCTGGTTGCTGAGGCAGAAGGTGCAGATGGAGCGTGGCTGGCGGCCACCGTCGGGGGCGGCGGAGACCGCGCTCTTGGCACTGCCGGCAGCTCGGAAGCACGGCTGCCCGTCGTCGGCCGCGTTGCTCGGCAGCAGCACGTTGGCCAGATGTGCGATGTAGCTGGACGCCAGGCGCAGCGTCTCGATCTTGGATGCGGTCTCGCTCCCGCGCGTTGGCCGCCTGCCGCTGTGGCACCACCACCTTCGGGCCCGCGCCGTGCCGCCTCCAGGCCCTCGCAGCAGCCGAACGACTGATTGAAGGCGTCGCTTTCGCTCTGGTTCTCCTCATCCTCGCTCAACAGCCCCAAGTCTGGGTACAGCACGTGCGCGCCGACGGGGCGCAGCGGTGCGAACGCCACGGGCAGCCGGCCTAGTCCCTGGATGAGCAGCGTCCTGGCCTCGGCCGCGCCCCGCCGTGCGCTCCCGCGCGCTCAGTAAGTAATATTTTTAAAAGAAAGAAAATTACTTTTTAAAAAAAGGAGCCTCAGCTAGGCTTCTTAGAGCAATGGGGTTTGACC